GAGGAAAGTCGAATGGAGGCCGCAATATCGAGGTGATATCGTCACTCGATTGGCTTCTTGTTGGTAATGGTGATGATGTAGGCACATGAAGAGGAAAATCGGTCGTTGAAGAGTGATCAGAAGCATCCTCCAGCTCTGCGTAGTCAGCATCAAGGGAATTTATCCTCCAACGGTTGGCATGAAGATCGATTGTAGGGGTGTTACCATGAGGAAGAGTTGTTGTTGAATGATAATCATTTGAAAAAGATGTCGTTGAAGTGTCACCGTAAGGAGAACTCTTATTTTCTCCATCATCGTTTTGAATATTTTTCGTCCATCGGTCGACGTAGGGGGATTGTGTCCTTAAAAAATTGTTGACGGGTCGAAATGTTCGTGAAGGATAGGTAGTATGGGAGTATTTTGGTTCAAGCGTAGTCGAAGCAGGATGTTCCTCGAACGCTTTCGATGTTATTGATTGTAGATCATCTGAAAAGAAACTTTCGTTAATTTCCTCGTGGCAATGCATCATTGGATTGAAGTACATCAGACTTCCATGAACATCTCAAACGTCTAAACTGCTGAAAGCGAACAACTTCAGCAATGAATTGCTGAAGTAAATGACTGCTGGTTTCATTTCAAACGAAGTTGAATGGAATTGCCGGAAACCGTTTGAGCATTGAAAGCTTTTCAGAAATCATGTCAACTATTTCCTAGACCCATCATTATGAAGAAGAAGACAGATCAAGGGGATGGAAAGATATCACTAACTGTATTCTTTGATCATTTTCGTGTATGATCTGACGGCTTTTGCGGTTGCTGATGGACGACAATTTCGCTTGAAGAGAGCGAAGAGTGGATTGTATTGAACTACAGCAGGATAATTGTCTGATGTTTTNTTCAGTTCCGTTTCCGATAGAATACAAGCGGTTAATGGCTTAGAATATGCAAAAGTGACACAATTGAAGAGAGCATTCTCGCATGCAACCTGACAAGATTCCACTGTTTTGAAGCCAGTATTATGACCTTTGCGGAACTTACGGTGTAAGGTTCGTTCGTTTTCATATTCCTGCCAGGTACAATTTTGCGGCCTTGCCCTCTGAAAGAATCAACGTTTGATTCTACTGATGCAGTTTTCAATAGGTACAACAATTGGATTGCCTGAGCATGACAGTTCGGGTTGATTAGCTCAAGAAAGAGAAACTTTGAGGAGGGTAAACTCTCATTTGTTTTTTGGTAGACGTTACTGTCTGTGGAAAGAATGAAGATCAGATTATTTCATCGATAACTCATTCGTCCGTTAACTATTTGCTGCAATCGTGAAGATGGAATGGTATCAATCATTACCTCTGGGACGAGAAGTTGCTCCTTGATAAATGCACCGTCAATCGCTGGCGTCTTTTCTACATTATCCGCATTACTAACTCCAGATGAACCATTCAACTTACAGCTCAACACGTAATAATGACTCGTTTCATCGTCAACTAGTTCACCTGATCCACCGTCATTGATTGTGAAAAATAACCTGAACGTTAACAAGATCTGTCCTTAAGTCGCATAGTTCCACTATGTGCTCAGTTATTTTTGTTTGAAATGGATTTGAGAGAAAACAGCTCTCACGAATGATACTAGTGACGGTTCAGAAAAACACATTTATAATACTTTGATAAAAAGATATTATCAGCTAACGAATGCGAGGCATGTCCAGAAAATGAGTAAGGTTTTGATGAAAAGAAATTCGTCAAAGTCATATCGGAATACTTCCATTATCACCAAAAAGACCATACAATTTCTTACCTAAGAACAAAGTTTTACATTTGATGCCCTCAGTACTTATAAATTTCCCCATCGACCCTAGAAAATTCCTCTTCGAAGAATGGCGCCACCAATATGAATAGATAACGATTATTGCATCAAGCACGGCAACAGTATTCAAGAGAGCATATCGTGTGCAATATTGATCAAGGCAGATGAAATGAAGTTATTTTAACCTGCACGTGTTGTTGGTATCGAAATTGAGCGAGTAACAGTTGGGCTTATAAAGACACGTCTCGATGCATTCTTCAAGAGTGGAATAAGGATCTTCGAATATTAACTGCGTTGTGATGAAACGTTTAAAAAGAAACTTCTCGAAGAGATACGGCGAACTACACTTCAACTCCAATGACCGATCCAAGCACACTGGTTCATACAGATCTCGATTTGCTAGAAATAGAGCTCACCATCAGAATAATTTTTTTTCCACCGAACTCAAAAAAAGCAACTGCTCAACGGCTCTAATTAGTTATGCTTACAGATAACGGGTTACCATTGCTCCAGAACACATCACAGCATAGGAAGCAACACCGCCTTGAGCTCGCTAACATAAAAATGACTTCTGGCTGAATGGGGGACCAAGAATATTTGATAATTAGAATATTTTGTCGGCAGATGCATAGTTTCTGGATCGCAAAATATGGAGAATCAGCAATAGTGTCCCTTATTTGGGGTATTCTGCGCTCAGAATAGGAACATACGATTGCTTTCGGTGTCTAGCTTCATGCTCTAAGTTGACTAAAAATGTAACCTGACGGAGTGGCCAGAGCAGAATCCTCCTCAGAAATGAAGCATTCATTGGTTGTTGTATCGAATTCAAAAGACCTTAAAAAGACTGAATATCGAAACGTGACTCAATAATAAACACTTCAATCAGTTGCATAGCTATGAATTTTCCAGCAGACGGCTGGGAGAGCGCAAAATGGTCCGGTCCAAACAATAGCTGATTTTTAGGGTGTACTTATCCATTCTTTAACCTTCCACGAGAGGAGCGAGGGGTGAGGGTGCAGCCTCTGCGTTCCCACGCTCCTTTCGGACAAACAACTGATTTCAATTCATCTTTCAGTGGCCACATTACATCTAAGATCGTGCCTAACTGCTTTTGAGATACTTACAAATCGCTGATTAATGATGCTTGCAAATGAGACACTTAGAAAGAAATGAGAACGTGACTGATGCTTGCAAAATGAAAATTAAGGAAAGGAAGTATGCCCTTGCACAGATCTGATCAATTCCAACGAATAACTGTTTGCGATGAGAACTTTTGATTCGTAGTTTTGATGGAACGATGACCACGATGAGAGAGGAAAGGCTACGAGCCATTAACCCTAAGCATTGGTCGTGAGTCCGAGGAAATGGGCATGAATGTGACAGTAAATACATTCGGTGTGAAACTGCCATCGCGAAATCAACTCGTCAAAGTGTAGCCACACTCGTGACGAGCAAAAAAAAAAGTTTTGATGAAATGTTGACCTGCAGAATAAAATCAATGATTCGATGCACTCTCGCATACAAGTACGAATATCGTGGATGCCCACCGAAATGTCTTTACCCAAAACCTCGTGATTTCTTGACATCACGTATTCAATTCTCTTATCACCACATCGATCCTCCTCTATAATTCAACTATCATTGATGATGATGATCAAAGCTGGATTAAGTGATCAAAATTGATGATCAAAGTTGGATGAATGTCCCAGTTCCACATTTCCGCAAAATTGTTCTGTTCCGTTCTCTTTCCGAATGTCATTTCTGTTTTATTCTACCATTCTTTTTTTGAATCGTCCTGATGGGCATTGTTACGGTACTACGAATTTTAAATCTGCTATGACGCAGGGACAGAACGGCAAAAGAACAGTTCATGGAATGTGAGCATCACTAAATGGCTTCAGTAAAGGCAGAACCATCTTGTGACAAACGGTCGCTGCAAGAACCTACCATGAACACAATTGTTTTCATAATAACTAGTTCTGAGATTTTTTTTAAATTGACCAGATACCGTTCGATGTGACACTTGATTGATTTGACAAAACCTGAAGTGTAGAGAGAGTTTCATTCTCCAATCATTCAGATAACATTTACAAACCCAAAATTACCACTGTCGTCTATGATGTATCAACGATCAACATAAAAATGTCAA